CCCAATTTCTTCTCGCATTTATCCAATTAAAAAATATCTAGGATTGGAATTTGTGTCTTAATATAAATAAAATTTTAAGTTAAAAGATCACATACCATTAACAGACGAACTTCATCTTTGTCACTGCTACTTATTTTTTATTGTATTTTATTTGACGTTGTATTTAGTTCTCCAGGTATTTCCTTTATTCTAGGAGTCAGTTTAGATATTAATTGAAGTTTATACGTTCAACTCTTGTACTCTATATATATTCAATTATATCATCAAATTAAGCGGTGGAAAAATATTCTCTTACCTCCTACTCTTAATTTTTATTATTAGCAAAAATATCCTTAAAAATTTAATATATTTTAAAAATATCCAAAAAATAACAATTAGTCCCTAAAGTTTTGAAATATTGTAAAAACAGCCTGGTTAATTACATTAACCCCTGCAGTTTTAAAATATAACAAGAACCACTTGAAACCTAAAATGGACTAGAGAGGTTGTCGGTTCCTGGTCCGATCTGCCAATCCAATCCGACTTTCAAAACATTGGTTTTTTTTTATTAATATTGCGGTTGTTAGAATCTATTTATTAGCTAAGCTATAGTTTGTAGTTTGCTTCTTACTTACACAGTGGTAATATAATTAATCTATAGTTTGTAAGTTTTAATTTGTTTTTTATTCACCCATTTGTAGTATTTGGAAATTCATGAGAGTTGCTAAGATATTATCCGCTTTAGATTTTTGTCCTTAAGATTTTGCTTTGGGGATTCAATCCTAAACACGTTTTGAAAATTTAAAGACTCATAATAGGATTTAAAACTAACATTTTACTCTTCTATCGAAGTGTTATGAAATATCACACATAATATCTACTTAATTTGGTCTAGACTGTTATAAATATGTGCATATATTTTATATCTTTTGGTTGTATTTATTAGTAAGGTGTTTCACCCTAATTTTTATCTTTGTCTTTTTTCTTTTTAAAATAAGCAAATAAATCAAAACTTGAAGTATCAATCTTGCAAATATAATATTGGAAAAATGGGTTGCACTAATAGTGTTGCCCTTTTATTGGGCCTTAAATGTGGACTTATAATCAATTTTGTCGATAGACGAGACCCATCATTGAATAAATTTCTAATTTTCTATTACAAAATGTTTTTAAATTGTAGTAACTTTTAACATAATAGATCCATGAAAAGAGATTTGGTTTAAAGCTATAATATAATGATTTCCCACCAGTGTCGGGCTTTACGTTAAAAATTCTAAAATAGCCTCCTTTTTTTTTTTAAAGAATTTCACAATGAGAACCTTATGATTGTTTCTTATTTACTTTTAATTTTATTATTATTACATTCATAAACAAAAATAAGTAAATAGCAGTTAACAAGATTTTTATTCATACTAATTTGTATACTGATACACTAACATTCATTCTTATTTATTTAATAAAAATATTTATATTAAAAAAATATTTAAAAATTAGTTTAACACTCATTTTTAAATTATAGAATACTCTTTATCATTTTCTTCATCTTAATTTTTTTTAATATTTGCATTATTTATATCAATAATTATGATATTTATATAGTAATTAATTATAAGATACTTGAATGGAAGATATATTAATTAAAAAAACTAATTATAATTATGATTTTATACTTTAAATAAACAGTAAAAGTTAGGATACTGTGACTTAAGATTTCAATTTAATTTTTTGACACTCTTTGTGAATCATCCATCTTTTATAAACTTAACAAGATATATCAATAATGATAGACGATTTATAAGGTGTGTCGAAAAATTAATTAAAAAATTTAAGTTACAATATCGTGACCCAATAAATAATTATTTTCCTACCATGAATTTTTTTTTTAATCATTCTATATAATATTATAATTTGAAATATAAAATTAAATTAAATAAACAAAAATCAATTGAAAATATTTAATAATATTATTTTTAAATCCTGAAATTATTAAGAAAATATAAAATAATATCCATAAATTTTAATTATTAATGATTAATTATTAATTTGTTCAATAGTATAAAAAGAGAAAAAAAAAAAATTGGTCCCCGCTTGGAATAAGGACTCCCACGTCTCCCCGTGGCAAATAATCCAGTATACGTTATAGGTTATGTTAGAGCAAAGCCCAATGTAAAAAACAGAAAGCTCACAACAACCCATAAGAAAAAATTATTACGGTAGTTCATCATCAGCTGAAAAATATATCTCATCTTCGAGAAAATCTTCATCCAACTCATATGAATTCCAAAAACTAGAGCTACTAGATTTCTTAGCCCTTGGCTTCAACTCTTTTAATTCTTTCTCATCTATTGGATGTATCCCACACTTCTTCACCTTTGATCCTGGACCACCTGCTGCAAATGAAAGCTCAACAAAATCTTGATAGACTTCTTTAGCCGACAAATAGAACAGCCAAAGATGGTCTGACACAGGCACACAGCCTTGCCCGAATTCTCTTCAAAACAAATCCTACGTTCTCCACCTCGAAGGATATTGGTCACTGTGCAGTAAATCCCATGTGTGCTCATGTAAGAACCTTCACTAAGGGTAGGCTGATGCTCATAGACCTCAAAAACACAGCAGACAGCATATCCCACCATCTTGTTATCACAAGAATCTAGAGGCTTTTCTATTTTAATTGAAGAAGTCTCACCCTGATGTTGGAACCACTCTGGAATTTCACTTCCAGGAATAACCATCTCAAATTCACTAATCGAACAAGGAGGCCTCCAACGTCTTACTGTTGGCATTGACATTGCCTGCACTCAGAAAAAGAAAGAAAAGTTATACAATAATGTTTAACTCAAAAGATGAAGAGAGAGAAAGAGAAATACACTGACCTTAAGGAATTCTCTTGGCATTGAAGATGCCGGATTGTTGCAACAGATCAATTTCAAGCAGTTTACACATGAAAGTATTGACAACGTGGAATTGCATAACCTTAATGCATTTGATGTTGTTTCCAGTGCTACACAACCATCTACCTTAATATATCCTATCTTAGATGGAAGTTCTGGTAGAGATCGAAGCCTCTTACAACCGTCCAAGTAAAGATAGTGAAGCTTAGAAAGACGATGGATGCTTCCAGGTAGAGAAACAAAATTGTTTTTGCTCAGTTCTAACTGACATAATGAAGGAAAGCTATTGAAAAAGTCTTTAGGAATCGCTCCTTCCTCCATATTGCAGTCAGTGAGAATCAATGTTTTTAAAGATCTACAAAAACCTGACAAAGTGGGGAATCTAAAAGTCTTGAGGAAGAATGAAGGCAATGTCAATTGAACTTTTGAGTGAACTTTGCATCCACGAAAATGTAACCCTTTAAGATTCTTCATAGGAAAAATGGACGCCATTGATCGTCTTATCGTAGTTCTCGTTAAATCAAGTGTTTGTAACTTTTCAACTTGCCCCAAAGTCTCTGGCAAGTTATCAAGTTTGGAGCATCCAGAAAGGTTAATATATCGAATAGATTTCAAACCATTTATAGTGACCGGAAGACTCACAAGATTTTTGCAGTCTGCCAAACTAAGAAGTTCAAGTCCACTCAGAAGTTCAATTGACATTGGCAGTACTTTAATAGCAGTTTTGCTTAAATAAAGGTCACATAGACAATTCATACTTCCTACAATCTCTGGAAATTTCTCTAATTTGTAGCAAAAAAATAGATGAAGTTCTTCTAGAGATTCCATATGAATTTGGTTTGGTAGAGTTGTAAGACTTGTACAAAATGCCATATCCAAATAAGTAATCTTTTTGTGAACCAACAAAGACGGGTGAATCTCACGCAACATTTTACATCCTCCAAGAATCACCTTTTTGAGATTTGGAGCTAATGTGAAATCTGGTGTTTTGATTAGGTACTCACACTTTTCAAAACTGATGGATACCAAATTGTTAAAAGAATGTTAAAAGAAAAAAAAAAAAAAAAAAAAAAGTTAGACAAAGATGTGGGTTGTCTTAATTTTCTATATTTATTAAACAATAAAAAACATAAAATATTCCATGTATAGTTATTTTACTCATAAAAATTAAAATAGGAAAGTGTAATTGAATCAATCTTACAATTATTCCCTGCTGCAATTGTTGAATGCGGCTCTGATCCATTTTCAGCTCAATAATTTTGTCCAATTGCAAAGTTGGTGGTAAGGATTTTAAAGGACATCCTTCCCAATCAAGTAAACGCAAGTTGTTGGAAAGGAAATCAAGACCTTCTAAAAGTTGAACATTGCGGATCCTGAGTAATCTTAGATTGATCATTTTCGAAAATGCTTTAGCACAACAATGAATATTTTCTTTAGAAAAGTTGAGTATTATGCCTTCAACAACTTCAGTTCCCTTGAAATAAAAGAAAAAACAAAAACAAGAGAGAGAAAAAACAAGTTAAGAATTAATAACACATGAATTTATCTATATAGATATATAGATATGAGTGCAGTCTACTTGAACAAACAAGAGGCAACAATTTATAAGTTCGCTATTAACATTTTAATATAATCTAAGAGAATTATTTTTATTTTACATATGTAGAAATTTGTTAAATATATGTTTCCATCATTTTTATATTTTAAAATTGTTAAAATATTATAGGTCTTTTATATTTTTTTAATTTAAATATATGTTTCCATCATTTTCACAAAAATCTAATAGAAGTACTTTTATTTTACATATTTAGAAATTTGTTCTCATAAAATGATACTAAAACCATTCATGAATTTTTAAAATATATATTGAATTGATTTTTTTCCTCATTCTTTTTAAAAATAATATAAGAAATAATTATCAATTTACATCGTATTATTCTAATTAAATGTACAAATGTTTTGTTTAATGATATATTTGTTATAGTAAAGAAGCCTATCGTTAATTCTTTGTTAGTATGCTCATGTATATCGTAGATACATAAACTAAGGAGAAAGAAAATTAACTACAAACAAAAAGATAATTTTGGAAATAAAAGTGTTTTTGAGGAACAAGAATTTTTAATATGCTCAATTGGACTACAAATTGGTCAACAAATACACAAAACAAAACAAAAATTAAACATGCATGTGTAATCTGGAGAGGCTAGCTATTGTGCTAACAATCTACTAGCTCACTCCTCATATAGATATTTAACTAGTTAAAGCAAATGATAATTGAAAAGGTGCACATGATTATAACAAAATTGAATTGCTTACCGTGTTTTCTGTCAATACATGACAAATGTCTGCTTCCATCCACAGTCTACTGCGTTTGCCAGGCTCTCCGGGGCACTCTCTCTTGACAATTTGTTGACCCATTTGTTGTAACAAATCATGCATCCACAATCTATAGCCATCTAAAATAATTATGAGCGATTTATCGATTAGAACATCTATTCCAACATATGGAGAAAAATCACAACTTTCAAGAATTTTTGTCATATAATATCTATTCTCTCCTTTAAAGAAACATGCTATATCAAGAAATATTTTTTTCTCTGATTCTTCTAGCCCATCAAAGCTTATTTGAAGTACATCTAGTATTTCTTTCTTACAATCTCTTTTTAGTCTTTGCAATGCATCATTCCATATATGAACTGCTCTTCCACACAAAAAGGAGCCCAAAACTTCAAGAGCTAATGGAAGACCACTAGCATACTTTACAACACATTTGGATAGCTCCCTAAAACTTTCTGAAGGTTGATGTTCCTTAAAGGCTTTTGAAATGAATAATTGGAGGGCTTCATCATCATTTAATTTCTCAACCTCATAAACTCCATCTACTCCGTGGGATATCAACAATCTTTTGTTTCTTGATGTTATTATGATCCTACTGCCCATGCCGAACCAATCATGCTTGTCAACTAATTTTTTTAATTGCTTTTCATCGTTCACATCATCTATAACAATAAAAACCTTCTTACTGGACAACCTACTTCTTATCATGCTTATTCCATCAAAGACATTGTATATGTTGATGTCATCTTTTCCCATCAGAATTTGCGAAAGAAGCATCTTTTGTAAAGAAACTAGACCTTCTTTTTCGGAAATTTCTATAACATTAGCCAAAAAACTACTACCTTCAAATTCACTAGAAAACAAGTCATAGGCAACTCTAGCAATTGTTGTCTTGCCTATTCCTCCCATTCCACAAATCCCAATCATACGAACATCATGTGACTCAAGACTTATAAATTTCTTTAGTTTCTCCAGCTGTGAATCTATGCCTACTAGGTTTTCGACACTTGTGTATTTTGGAAAACATAATTTGCATGATATCTCCTTCACAATTTTTTGAATAAATTGTGACTCATACCTGAAGAGTGGAAAAAATTAAGAAAAAATTGTGGTTACAACTTACAACACTAGTGAGTCATGAATATACTAATGAATAAATAGTGTCTATCATAGAAATTATCTACGTACACCTATAGGTTTATACACATGAAACTTTCATTTTTCCTTTTTTTTTTTTAGGTTTGCTTTTAGCATTCAGTCACTATTGTAGTTATATTATCTCTATACTTTTCGTATCATATACGATATGTCTTAGTTACAATAACAAGGAAAATTGAATAAAAGTTTTCATGCTTATCCAAGGTATTAATTACTGTCATACATCATTTTCTATCATTACTTGGTGAAATACGAAAAAGCTTATTTTATTAATTATCTTTTCCATTAATTTATTATTGAATGCTATCTATATAATATAAGCATTTGTTAATTAAATATTTCATTGTACGAACACTTTTAAACTTCTGATAAAAATAAAACTTGGTTTGAATAATAAATTCAATGCTTTAATTTGTAGTATCGCCACTCTTGACTGGCGCATTTAAACAATCAAGTTATGAATATCATTTTCATAATTCATCAAGTCATGCTTATCATTTTGATAACTAAGCTTTTCACTATAAAGAAAAAGAAATAATTGTCACATACCCATCGTTCAAGTCAAATCTTGAGTGATTGGCCACCTTTGTCAAAGCATTTCTCCAATTTCGCACCTTGCCAATATCCTCTCTAAAAGTTTCCTCATATTTGACAAAGGCTTCTTGAAATTCTCCTGTTTGTTTTCTAACCATCGAAGGATCCACGTTATAAAAAACTGGAAAGAATTTTATATTCTTGCAATGAACAATTTGAACAAGTTCATCTAAACACCATGTGGAAGAAGCATAATTTCTTGAGAAAACAACAACCGCAGATCTTGATTCTTCGATTGCACGAAGAAGCTCTGGTGAAATGAGTTTTCCTCTCTCAACTTCTTTGTCATCCCTAAAAACACGCAATCCTTTCTGATTCAAAGCAGTATACAAATGATCTATGAAGTTCTTCCTTGTGTCTTCACCTCTAAAGCTTAGAAAGACATCATATTTCCAACGACGAGAAGAAGATGTTGATGAAGAGGCCATTTGCATGATGAGTTTGCAAGTTTGTTGGTATTGTATATGCAAGCAATTTCGTCCTCTCTTAGAACCTAAAAAATTTACTGGAAAGGTAATAAACTTCTTACAGACCATCTATATGTATTTTAAATTTCCAGAAAAAAAATTAAAAAATAAATAAAACAACAACAGATTTTCTTGTATTAACCCAATCATAAAACATAACAACAACACAAAAATCACATTTTTATCCATGCTGTAAACTTAAACTACAAAAAGAACAAAAGAAGACAACTACCTCCAGAAGCGGAAACAGTCGCAAATGTTAGTCCTCTCTTAAACAGCCTCAGCGATGAACAAAGTCCAATCTCGCGACTCAACGGCCTAACTCGTGAGTCGAAATCCACTCGTGAGTCGAAATCGCTTCAAAGCCTCCAAAGTCGAAAAAACTCCGTGACAATAACTCTAAACCTTGTTGCACAACATTTTTAACAAACCCAAAACTCCAAACTCGCCTATCCTAAGTCCAACCTGTCACTGTAACTCATCGTCAACACTCAAAAATCATCAAAAATATGTATTTTCAATTTCCAGAAAAGACTAAAAATAAAAAAGAAGCCACTAATTTATATCTTGTAAATCTAAACAAACATGTTCAGCTAACTTGTTTAAAATAAATATTTAATTTTTTGCTCTTAAGCAAACTACAGAAAAGTTGAAAAATTAAGAAATCAAAGATTGCTCAGAAATTAAACTTACAGCACTATGAGGGTGTTACTGCAGTTGTATTGAGAAAGTTTTTATGAGTGTTCAGTTTCGATGGATAACGTTTCAAAGAAAGAAATGCTTCTGTCAAAATTTCTTCGATTTTTTCTCTCTTCTTAATTTTCACGCTCTTTAGAAAAATATATAAAGAGGAAAGAGTAGAGTAAATACCACTCAACTTTCAAGAAGTTTCCAGGAAATGACAAGTCTTTTTTTACTTTTCCCTAGGCGAGCATGTCATGTGCCTGCTTTCATGCCATTTTTTTTTTGTTTTAATTTGATAAGTAAATGTTACTTACATTCTCAACCCAATAAAATATCGCATCAATTTGTAATGTGAATGCTTTTTGTATTCACATTAGAAGACGTGTACTGTTCTTTCTGTCCCCATCCAAAGCAAGACCAAGACTAACTCACGTCTTTTATAGACTTTTATCTGGAGCCGAGTTTTTGTGATTTTTTTTTTTTTTTTTGTAATTTCTTAAAGGGAGTAAATTGTAATCTTGAAGAGATGTAACGTTGAGGTATGACAATGAGGCGTTAAAATTTACGTTGTTATAACTCTGTTAAATTATCAAATTATTCTATTATTGTATATTTTGATACTTATAACTTAATGAATAAAGGATTTTTGTTTAAAGAACAAATTTTCTCATAAAATCACATGACTTAACATAATTACCATTATAAAAATAATAAGGACAAAAATAATAAAGTCTAACACTATTTAGTATGATCTAAGTATGTTTTAATTAAATTTTTATTAATAATTTAAATTGTTTATACATAAAAATCTTGAATTATAGATGATAGACACTATTTATATTTTTGAATTATTCTTATTAGTTCATTTACAACACTTTTAGTTTGTTCTTTTTAAAAAAATAATTAAATATATCAATAAGGTATATATTATAGTAATTATATTAATTACATATTTATTTTTGTTATTTTCTTACTTTTTTATTTCATATGTCTTTCGTTCTACTAATGCTTTTCCATTTTGATTTTTACTTTCACACAAAATTTCTTTCATTTTTCTCTCTTCTTAATTCTCACACTCAGAAAACTTTAGAGGAGAGTAAATGCCACCACACATCATCTATTTTCTTTCTCTATCTCTCTTTGAATTAATTTTTTACTTTTTCCCAAGCGAGCATGCCAATACATGTGATGATGTGAATTGTCATTTAGTGCTCTACGCAACATACATACCCACGTTGCATGCTTCCATGTTTTTTTTCTTTTTAATTTGATATCTAAGGCCGAACGACCTACGCCTATCCAATATTTATCGTAAAGACAAATTAATACTCAAAAGGTTTAGAAATGATAAATAGATATTTTCGGTTAGGATTTCGGTTTCTTAAAGGACAATAAAGTAATTTCAAGTAAAGAGCTTGACACGTGTCCCTAACAGTTGACTTTGTCAGTAAAAAAAAAAAAGAGAAAACAAAAGTCTTTTGGCTTTTTGTTTGTTGCCTCTTCCGATCTTCGTTCTTTGTCTCTGAATGAGTTCGACCAAATCAACGGGAAACCATCGATGACTACCAATGAAATGGAAACCGACGACAGTGGAGGACGAGTTAAAACCGGCGATAGTGGCGAAGTGAGTTTCACTAAACGGCACGAACCCTAAACGGAGATGATAGACGACGTTTGAGGGAGAGGATCGTTGGGTAGCGACAATGGTGGAAGACGGCTGAACGAACGTCGGCGTTATTAACGGTACTTTGACTATGGGAAAACCGTCTATGGCGAGTGAAGGAAAAAAATAGAGAAAAGGCGTTGTTGGTGTACGTCATATGGAATATCCGGAGAGAGGAGGAGGGAAGGTTGGTGACGGCAAATAGCGGTGGACAAACGATCGACGACGAGTGAGGAAAATAATCGTAGGATATTGGCGACAATGGACTAGGGCTGAAGGAACAACAACTAGAGTTGATGACGTAGGGTTGTTTACGGGTTGACGGTAGATAAATCGTCGACTACAACCGAACAACGAAAACCGAAGGTTAACGGTAGGTAATTTCATCTCATTTGATTTTGATTCAATTAATCCTCTGTTGCCTCTAATTCAACCTGGAACGACTGGTCTGTTTGTTCTCTCTCTCTGTGGGGTTGGGAGGTTTGGGGGTGTTGTCCACATTTTTATTTCTGTTTTTCCTTTGTTTTTATGGATGAACTGATCTATGTTTTTTTGCTTTCTGGTTGTTGAGATTGTGGGCTGCCTGGGGCAATTTTTTTTTGTTTTCTGGACTGCCGAGTTTTGTTTTGCTATGTTTCTGTGTGGGGAGCGATGGTTGTTCATGGTTTGGTTGTGGTTGTGGGCATATAGAGAATTTTGGTTTTTGGTTTTTTTCTTTCCAGGCCTTGGAGGAGAGTAGTCATGTTGATTATTCTCCTTGGTTGGGCTGGTTTTCTGCACGAGGATGTTGCTGCTGGTTTTAGTTGTTGTCGAAGTGCTTAAACTTTGTTTTTTTTTTTTTTTTGGTGGCTGGTTTGATGTGGTGGTGTAAGTCTGTATGTTTGGTGAAGTTGCTGCTCCAGTGTGGTTGTTCTCTTCTTGCTGGCTTTGTTTGTGTGTTGTCCTTTTTGAGGCGGTCTGTTGTGGTGGTGTGTTGATCCTGCTGGTGTGGGTTTTTAGCCCTTTTTTGCTGCTGCTGTGAGTTCTCCAGGTGCAGAGTTTTTGCTGGAGCATGATTGCTCTTTCTTTTGTTGGCGTTTTGTGCTTGAGTTTGTGGTCCTGCTTGAAGACTTTGTATTTTTTGTTAGTTGTTTTTATTCTCTTTGGTTTTGCTGCGTTGGAGGCCTTGTGCCTTTGTAAAGATTTTTCTCCTCCTTAGTTGCTTTCGTTTTTGAATTATTGATCTTTAGTTGTTGAAGTCTTTAAATTGATTGATCTTTAATTGCTGCTTAATCTAATCATATTGTACCTTCATGATGCAGAGGCGTGTGAGTTTATGGGTTGACCCCCCGGTTAACAACGTCATGTACCGATCTCATTATATAATGCTTTGCTGTAGTATTAAAAGAATACAAGGTCTAGTGCTAAATTTTGATGTTAAAATTATACTGTGTCAGCTAATATATGTAGAGGAATAGGTTGTATAGTGTAAAAAGCTTATTGGATTAATGGTATGCTGTAGTTATGAAAAATGCTTTCAATAATTTATTTAGTCTAGGTACAATTGGCTATGAAGCCTAAGATAGTATGAGTTGTGAATTGGCCATTGTGATTATAGTCTTTGCCCTGTGATTCTCCATATTTGTTTGGGTAGGCAGTAGTTGTGTATAGTAAATTTGTTTTGTGTTTTTATTTGTTTTTGTTCGTAAATCTTAATTTTATCTGATGTAGCTATATTTCTAATTTCTGATCATCTTTTTGTTTGTTTATTGAAAACCATGGTGTATCTTTTTGTCGGTATGCACTTTTCCGAAAATCAGAATGGCGAAGCCCATGAAGGAAATTGTCAAAATGTAACTCAACAAATACAATTGAAGATTTATGCAGTGTTTAGGAGTTGGTAACATTAGCATCTTGGAAATTGCTTTTGCTTTTTCTTGTAAATCTTCCAAATTTTGTTTTACGAATTCATAGATTTTGTTTATTTGTAACTTAGGAAGAATTTCATTACAAATTTGGTTATTTTGTATGTATGAATGAAATCATGAAGAATCTCATTACACATTGCTTCAGCCACAAATAAGCAATTTTATTCTGGTGCTTTATTTGAGTACTTTATTAGTTTAACTTCGAAATTTTGTTACCAAAACAGGGACAAATTGGTCATTTGATTGTCTTTTTTTTTTTTTTTTAACAAACTCATAGGGAGAAACTGGTCATTTCATTAACATATAATAACTTGATGGCATAATCGTAATTCACCATAATTGTATGGGTGTTTACGTAATTGAATGAGTTGACTGGTCATAAATTAATTTAAAAAAAATAACAAACATCTAAGGGCATTCCAGTTTTTTCAGCATTTTTGTCATTTAGCAAACAGAAATCCTAACAGAATTTGATGGAAAATGCCTATTTGTCATTTCTAAACCTTTTAGATACCCATTTGTTATTATGGCAAACTTTGGGTAGGTACAAGTCATTCCCCCGATAACTAAATGTTATATTGTCGCTTTTATTCTCAACCCAATAATTTTTTTTTTTTTTTTTGTGGTGATTGAATGTCCGACCAATTTGCATGTATCTTAATTAATCTTTCGAAATCTTAAAATTGATAATCAGGTAAGTCCCTTAATGGTCATTCATATTAACACTTATAAAAACTCGAATTCCGGAGTTCATAAAACATTTTTTACTCTTTCCTAAGTGATCGGTTTCAATTGGGTAATTGTTTCAAAGAAATAAATGCTTTTGTCAAAAGGCCAGAGGATTTGGTCTATTTAACCTCTATCACATCCTTTATTCCTATTTAAGCTATGTATATCTATATAATAATATTTTATTAATAACGTGTTATTTGAAAATTTTCCACTAGAGAAACGGGCTTACAATCACATTTAGAAGAATTAATTATATAACAAAACAAAATAAAGATTAAAGACTTCAAAATTTTTCATTAGAAGTTTATTCCTTGAAGTTTCTTTT